GTCGGCACGCTGAGGGCCGCCGGGGCTGCTGAGGAGCCTGACGTAAAGGGACGCGGGCAAGGGGAGACTGTGCCGGCGGCAGTGGCCAGAGGCGGGCGGGGGCGGAGCAGGCCGATGGGCGGAGCCCACGGCTGAGGGGGCAGCGGAGGCGGGGTCCGCGGGGTGGGCTCCATAGTGCGGCGCTGACCCCCGCGGCCCCGGGAGGGTGCAGGAAGGGGTCATCTAGGTGACCCGAGGGCTGCTCCGCGGCCAGGACGGGGGACCCGCGCCCTTGGCCTGGGGGCTGTCCGCCTGCAGCCCAGCTTGGGCTGACACAACCTCACCGAGACTGGGGCGCAGGAGATGGGGTCCCTGGGCAAAGTGAGGACAGCGGGTGGGGCAGGAGGAATAGTGGGGCGGGGTGCAGGGCGTGGGCGGGAGGCTGAGGCCGGGGGCACCCCAAAGCAGCTGCCATGGGGTGGGGGGACACGGGAGCCCTCTGTGGCCAGCGCGGGACACTGACCTCGGGCTGTGGGAGCCAGGCCTGGCCCTGGGCCCGGTTCGCACCCCCACGGGACAGGCAGCCACAGACAGACAGGCGAGCTGCTGGGGGCCAGCGGGCTGCCCAGGGGTGGGAGCAGGACCGGGGGTCAAGGGGCAGGGCGGGGGGCTGCGCCAGGCCTGCCCTGGCTCCCGTCGGCCCAGCCCGCCCTCGGGAGGGCCCTGGGGCTCGGAGAGGTGGGGTGGGCGGGACCCGTGTGCCGCTGTGAGAAGGCGGAGGGCACTCTGGCCTCAGGCGGCGCTGCCTCGGGGAGCCAGGCCCCACGGGGCGAGGGCAGTGAGCTCCAGGCCCCCACTGTGCACGGGCCCTGTGCCACTGGCAGGTGCTGGCGGAGGCCCAGGGCGCCCGGGCACAGCTGCCAGGCCCTCACCATGGTTCGGACTTGGCCCCCAAGTTGGGCCGAGGTTCCCTGTCCCCTGCCTGGCGTCAGCAGCTGGCCCTTCCGGCTGGTGCCCCCGGCCCCAGCCCCCAGCCGGCCCCGCGCCC